CCCGCATCTGTGGCAGGGCCCAGCCTCACCTCCAGCTGCTCTACCAGCTGCATCTCCAGTGTCATGAGCACATTGGACAGCTCAGTGATGTCCTCACTGTATTCCACTATCTTCACCTCCATGCTGGCCAGGTCGGACTCCTCTCGGATGGCGCTCAGGCTCTGGAAACAGGAGCCTGTGCTTTAGGAGCTACAGCCACGTGTAATTAATGACAGACAGCAGTTGGGTATTGTGGGTAAGAGCTGGGCTCTGGGTTTGGGCTGCTCAAGCTCAGGAGGCAGCTGTGCCGCCTGCCAGCTCTGTGCCCGTGTAGAAGCTGGTTGCCCTCTCCAGGCCTCGAGGCGGTTGGAGCAGATGCTAGCACTGGCTGGCAAGTGCTTCACCCTCACCAGCTCGGGTTCTTGTCACAGGTGGCTGGGCTGGCTGGTAGGAGCAATGGCTTCAGAGCCAGGTGGACTGAATTTGAGTCCTCTCCAGTCACTTATTAGCAGTATGACCTTGAATGAGTCCTTTCCATTCTCTAAGCTTCAGTTTCCTCATGTAAAGGGGGAGAGAACCTGTGCTTCACAAGTCCCGGGGGTCAGGCAGGGTACGTGAGGTCTTGGCTCACATTGGGGGCTCGGCTAATGAAGACTTCAGTAAAAGGCTACAGCAGACAGGTAGGGAGAGACTTGGGAAACATAAAGACAGGTCCAGTCTGAGGAAACCAGTCAGACCCACACAGAACTCCAGCGAGCAAGTAGAGGCTAGTATGTAGCAAACTGAGTAGACCATGGGAAAGGGAGGTGCTCGTGGGCCGGAGGGCACCCTGGGTCCGAGCACAGTACTGAACACCAGCCGCTCACTAACAAAAGGCCTGGAAACTTGGCCACCAGGAACTATGTCAACTTGTTTCTGTTGATATTTAGTATTAGTTGTGAAGGAAGAGTAACCGGTGATTTGGGGGTGAATGACCTTTATAATAATGGCTACTCCATCTGGAGAAATTAATCAGGTTCAATTCCTATCTCGAGCCTTCCATGAAAAGAAATTCCTGACAGAGCAAAGATTTAAATGTACTAGAAAAAATGGAGGATTTTAAATAAGTAATCTCAGAGTGGAGAAGTCCTTTCTAAGTATAAACAGGAGAAAAGATTGGTAAAGTCTATCACATAAAAGATTTAAATATTCTGAATGTAAATGCACCATATACAAAAATGATAAGATAGACAAGCTAGGAAAACGCTGGTAACTTATTTCACTGACACAGGGCTAATTTCTTAATCTATAGAGTGCTCCTACAAAGTAATACTTTTTAAAAAGGAAAGGTAGAAATTGAGAGAGACACCGTATAGAAAAGTGGGCATAGTATTATGAGAATAGTTCACAAATAAGAAATACAAATGTTTGCAGAAGATGTGATGTTCACTTCCACTTAAAAGAAAATAAACATACAATCCAAGGGGAACAGATTAGCAACGATGCGCTTGCCAACTCCGGCCTGGCACGGGAGTAGGCGAGCTGCAGAAGGTGCAGCCTTTGTAGGGTGCAGCTGGGCAATAACTAGTAAGAGGAGCAATGCATAGGCCATCTCCAGGACTTCATCCTAAAGATCACACTTCCACCAAGTTATTCATGACAATACTGTTTGAAAGAGCAAGAGATTAGGAAAAACCTAATTGTACATCAACAGGGACTGGCTTAATAAATTGTGGCTCATGCACGCAATGAAATATTTTATAACTATTAAAAACATAAAGCAACTCAAGTTTTAGAAGGCTCTCTAAGCTGCACAGATAAAATAGCAAAGTGTAGAACAGTGCATGCTACATTTTCATCACACACATATGTACATGCACACACATGCATGCACACGCACACAGAGAGCACACACATGAACACATACACACAGACGTGCGCATGGCACAAACAAATGACATGTGCACACACATGCACGTAGCAAGCACAGGCGTGCACATGGCACACACACAAATGGCACACACGTACACACGCAGGTTGAAAACAGGCTGACTGTACTTCCCTGCACATTTTTCATCTCGTGCCTGTGCTATGCTTGCGTGACCTATCCATTGCCAGTCACCGCCTAGCCACTATAGAGAGACTATGGCTACACATAGACTGTCTGTCATGTACGGCTCTGTTCCACCTCACTGGTCCCCATTGAGGTTCTGTGGGGTGGTTGTCTCCATTTCGCTAATGAGGAAATGGAGGCCAGGAGAGGGTCACCAGTGAGGGATCCACCTGAGTAGCCCCTCTGCTGGGCAGCCCTGTCTAGTGCGGGCAGGGGGAGGAGTGCAGGACAAGCTCACAGGAGTGGCCTCTGAAGGGAGTGAACTGGGGCCTTAGGCCTGTGGAGTCTGTGAGCTTCCAAGACAGTGGGCTCAACTTGGCCAAGCACTGGAGGCACCCGGGAGTGCTGAAAAACACCAGTGCCAGGTGCATCCCTGGGAGGCACTGTGTGTTGTCAGGTCCCCGTGAACTTTGCCGTGTAGGCTGGACGAGCAGCTCTGCTCCAGGCTCTAGGAAAGGAGTGCTCAGGTTAGCTCATCTGAGGCAGCCAGTGAGGGTGCCACCACTCAGACCAGTGCCTGCAGCAGAGGGAGCTAGCCTGCTCTGAGGGCTGAGCTGAGGAACAGCACGCTAGGAAGTGGGACTTGGTGCAGCGGGAGGGTGGCATCGGCACAGCCTGGCTCAAGGTCTGCTTCTCCAGGGGGATCTGTTGACAAGGGGGCCGGGCCCCGGCCTGGGGCTTCAGGAGGGCTCCACCTGAGCAGCCCCCCACTGGGTACCACAGTCTAATGGGGGGGTGGGAGGATGGCTACAGGGATCAGATAAGAAATGTCAGGGAGCATGTTCCGGGCAGGGCCTGGGGACCGGGAGATTCAGCCTGTCCAGAGGGGACAACGGCCACTCTGGTCCTGATGACAACTGCCTCCAGGGAAGCGGGCAATCACAGCCTTTCTGTGAAATCCTCCTATTTTTAATGTCAGCAGGATATTCAAAATGTTTTAAAACCCTCTGCAGACCAAACAAAATACTGATGTGAGCGGATTGTGCCCCTCTGGCGGCCCCCGCCCTGCCACGCGGTCCGCTGGCGAGGCTGATGAGGCAGGGGCGGGAGCGGCGGGCGTGGGAGGGCGCGAAGCGCACTGGAGCCTGTGGCCAGCCCCATCACCTCAGCGCGCCTGGCCTGGCCGGGCGAGTCTGCTCTACTGGGACAGTCCTCGAGCGGGAGTGGTCGCGTGGCTCCTCGGGCCCCCGGAGCGGCGAGTGCTCACATACTTGGTGTGTGCGAACAGGTGTTCGAGGGAATGAAGGCCCAGGGCTTCCTAGAGTCTCAGCAGGTCTATGACTTAAAGCAGGCTAGGAATTGGTCTTTAAAAGTAATGCTAACTGAAGAAACAATCCCCACCAAGGACACGTGGCCTCTGCTTGGCTTGGCTGAGTGGCCCGGGGCGGGCTGGTCCTGCATGCCCAGGTCTCTGCTTGGGGTCCCTCCCTGGGTGAAACACTTTTCTTCCTCCACCATCCCTGGATACCTCTTCTTTGTCCCATAAGCCTCAGTCTGAGTCAAGCTGCCCCTGGAAACCCCCAAGGCTTCCCGGCTTCCCTCCAGATTAGAGCTGACCTTTCTGGAGGAGGGAGGGCCTGGGTCTGCACCCCTCAGCAGATGGGAGCTCTCTGAGGGCAGGAGCCACATCCAGCATGGCTCTGGCTCCCAGCACTGGGCAGAGCGGGGCCCAGGCATGTCTGCTAGATGAATGAGTGAATGAAAGAGAAGTAGTAGTCACCACTGTAATGGTAATAGTGACACCATTCAATAGTGATGAGGACATTGCCTTGACCCCCAGGGATGTGTTAGGTGGAGGAGACCCACAGGCTCCACGCTCAGCTCAGCTGTGTTAGGTGGAGGAGCTGTGGCTGGTGGTGCCTGTGGAGGGCAGAACCTTGGTTCAGCCCCTGAGCTGTGTGAGCTCTGGCCAACAGGGACAAGGACCACAGGCCTCACCATGGGCCTCAGGAGTAGACAAAGGGACAGGGCTGCAGCCCCTCTGGTGGGGCAGGAGGCAGAGAGGGGTGAGGAGGGCAGGGCCTACCAGCAAGTGCTTCTCCTCAAACTTGGCAATCCTCTGTTTGCCCTGCTCCTGGTTTTCCTGGATAGCCTCGTGGACACATTCCTTGAAGGTGTGAAGCTCCGCTTTCCGCTTTTCCTGCTGCTTCAGTCCATACTCGAAAATGTTCAGGCAGATGATGACAAATTTGTCCTTGTAGGTTAGTGGCTGTTAAGGAAGCTTGAGGCTCTCGGGTGCCCTGGGTGGTAGTGATGGGTTCCTTGCAGAGCAGGCAATTGAACTCTAGAGGATAAGAGGCACCTACACCCTCAGCCTGAGGGATCCAGGGACACGACCTATGTGAGGGAAGGAGGCAGGGGCCACAGGAGGAGACTACAGAGCAGAGGGGAGACCTGCTAAGACAGGCCCCCAGAACAGACTCCTGGGGGACCTGGAGGGGCCAGAGGGGGGCTGGGTGTCCAGGGGAGCCAGCCCGACTTGACGTGTGTTTTTGTCTCTCTTGTGTTGTCTAGAGGGCACCTTTGTTGAGGGCCTGTCTTCGGGCGCTGCAGGTGCACTGAGGGAAATTGCGGAGGTAGGGGGACCACGGGCTGGAAGCAGGGAGATCCAGGTTCAAGTCCAGGTTCTGCTGTGCTTCACCCTGGCAAGCTCCTTTCCCTCTCTGGGCCTTGGGTTCCTCACCAGCATATGAGGGCACAGCAGAGTTCACTGTATGGAGTCCTTGGGAGGACCTGAGGTCTGGCAGGTGCTACAGCCTGGATGCAAGCCCAGGTCATCCAGCAGGCAGGTGGCAGAGCCCGGAGGGAGCCTGTCTGTTCCACCCAGAGCCCTACTCTTCCCACCTGCTCAGCCCCACACCTGACTGTCCCCTGCCCCACTCTTTTCAGAATGTTGGGTTTTTAAAAGTGAGCTTTTTCTTATTCAGATGTGGTGGTTCCACAACCCACACTGTGACCCGGTGCTTTGTCTCAGCACTCTCAGGCAGGAACCCCTCAATTCCATCTGGAGTCCCTCAGCTTAGAGTATAAGCTGACTGATTGACCATCCCAGTCATGGCTTTAATGACAAGTGCTGGCCACAACCTGTGGGCTCCGGCCAACTGGGGAAAGAGTTCAGGCTTTTAGTTCCACAGAGCAGGGTTTGAATCCCAGCATAACTGTGTGACCCTGGACAAGCCAGCCTCTCCAAGGTGAGCCTCCCCAGCTATAAAGTGTGATTATATAGCAGCACCCATTTAGTGGGGTGGTTGAGAAAATTATAAATACTGTGTGCAAAGCACACAGCAGGGACCAGTGAACATGGCTATGGAGGACTGGTGCCCTGAAGCACACTTCAGTCCAATTTTCATCTGACCACCTAGCCTGTCAGGCACACAGGCCTGGGCCATGCTGAGCAGACCTTCAATGTCCCCAAAACCCAGACAGCGTTCCCGGGCTGCTCAGCTGGCCTGGCTCTGCATTGCCTCTTGGGTGCATTGCTCTCAAGTGGATGTTTTACCTCCCAGGGTCTCAAAGAGAGCTTGGGAAATGGAGCCCAGAGTGGGAAGGGACTTGCCCCAGGTAGGCTGGTGTCACAGGGCCCAGGCTCTGCCAGCGGAGGCAGCTGTGAACTTGAGAGGATATGCATCGAGGAGCTCGCCGACACCGTGCAGGTAGGCCAGCTTGTTGCCCTCCACGTCCTCGGCATACATGCTGTCAAACAGGAAGGAGCCGTTCAGGTACTCCACGAACGCAGCCTGTGGTCAGAAGCACAGCTGGGATCAGGGCCTGACTTGCTGCCCAGGCCTGCACCCGGGCTCTGGGTTGCTGGACCCTGGGCCTTCTGAGGGGGAAAGGGCATGCTGGGGCCTGGCACCTGTGGAGGTTCAGAGGCAAAACACTGCCAGCTGCACATGGCTTGCTCTGGCTGGAGGGAGGGTGGCGACAGTGGGGAAGAATGAGGGAGGGGCTCAGTTGTGAACTTCCTTGACTGCCCCGAGGAACTGCCTAGGGGTTTCAAGAAAAGGCCCCTCTCAGCAGACGGTCCTGGCACCATCTCCCAGCCTCGTGGAGGAGGGTGGGGTTTGCATTGAGGTGGTGTTGGGCCGGGGGCAGGTGGTGGGCAGAGCAAGGCAGGGACAGGGCACAGGCCTGTGATGGAGCACGCTTCACACGCTTCATCAGAGCTAGGCCGTTGCTGCACAACATCTGTTTCCAATCAGAGGGCAGGTTTTTGGGGGCCTGGGCCCCACTGGCCTTTGTTGAACCTGACTGATGTCCTGCGGCCAGCATCCTGGAGCCAGGGCGGGGGCGAGGAGGGGGCTCCCGGGCCGAGTGTACCTTGTGTTCCTCCAGCTCCTCGCGTTGGGCCCGCTCCTCCTCCAGCCGGGCCTGAATCAGGTGCTCCCGGTGCTTCAGCTCGTCGATGCTGTACTGGTGCTTAATCTCCGCCAGCCCTTTCTGACGGGGAACAGAGCGGCACTGTTACCAGAGCGACCTTGGCCTCTGCCATCCTGAGGTGTCCCAAGTGTGCGCAGGGGTGTGAATGAGAATGGTTTATTGCCTCATGGCCCTGAGACAGGTTAGTAAGAACCTAGGAAAATTCTCTGGCAAGTGGAATGAGGAAACTGAGGCGAATGTATGAACAAACGGCCAGAAGAGCTGAGCAATTAACAGCTAGCTGATAAGTCACAAGACCCTACCCCTCCCAAACCTAAGGTACCTAGGAGCAGGTGGTCTAAACCCACCCCCCCAACCAAAGACACTTGAGAGCAGATGGTCTAAACCCACCCCCCTAACCAAAGACACCTGAGAGCAGGTGGCCTAACCCCCCTCAACCAAAGACACCTGAGAGCAGGTGGCCTAAACCCATGGCCCCTAACCAAAGACACCCCCTCAACCACCCCTGCCACACTGGACAGGTGCTGCTCCCCACAGGAGATCCACTAGCCGCATCCCCTTGACTGCCAGTGGCCCCGCACTGCAGAGCGTGCGTCCTGCAGAGGAGTCAGCTGGCTGTGGCCAGCTTGGCCCCTCGGTGCTTGCAGACACTCGGTGCAGGCTCTCGAGGAGGGAGAGACTGAGTTGTGTGGCTCTAGGGAGGGGTGACCTTTCCCTCGCAGGCACCACCAGCACCACTGTTCCTGTGCAGAGCCCTCCCTTCACATGGCCAAATCTTGGTCTCTTCGGGCCTGATGAACTCTGCTGGCCCCACCCTGATGACTCCGAGGCCACGCCCTACCACAAAGGTCAGCGGGCACCTGGCGGGTGGCAGCTAGCCTTGGTACACCCAGAGACTTTTGCTGAGTGCCCTTAGTTCCAGCACTGGTTCC